CTCTCTCTCTCTCTCTCTCTCTCTCTCTCTCTCCCTTCCTCTCGGACTCTCTCAGCTACCGAGTATAGGACTCTAGCGACTGGTCCCTTTTGGTACCCGCTGCGCGCCGGACTCGTCACTCTCAGCGTCACCGTGAGAACGCAAGCTCTGTAAACGCGAGTCGTAAAGCATCGCGCATGGAGCACACCAAATGGACAAAGATGAGCGGCAAAGCGGATTATAAAATGATACAAAACGGCCGGGCCCCGGGGATGCGCCGCGAGTCCATGTCGCCCTTGCGGTCATCGGCGCGGAGAAAAGTGACGCCCGCGACGCCGCACCGCACGGTATTGAATCGATGTCTCAAAAAGGCATTCCAATGCTACACTCTAAATGACCAAGGAATTTTTGTAAACTACCTATGGACGTTTTAAAACACAACTAACACGATACAATTTTGTAGGTCGTTAGCTCCTAATTAGTTACTAAATGTCAATGGTCACTAAGAGTGTGTACATTTACAAAAAAAAAAAAATGACAACAAACGGTGTTTGTCGCGTGGGCGAGTAATAATAAGTCACACGTACGAAGACGATCACCACCCGAGTACAAAAAACGCAAAGCGGTCCGTTGCTTTCCCACTCACTTTCTCCGTCGCGTTCCGCTTTGGGCGTGAGCCTGCCCCCGGCCCGGCCGCCCCTAGAGGAGCCTCTATTATTCTAGGGCCTGGCCGCCCTGACGCCGTCATGAGAGCGCGCAGCAGCGGCGCATAGCCTTTCAGCAGAGCGCCCCGCGCCGAGTACCCGTCCGTGGGGGTCATGACCAAGCCGAGCTGCTCGCCGGGGCGTTTCTAAAGAGGGGGAGGGGGGGGGGACGCACCCAATATAGAGCGAGTGCCAGTGTCCGTACCGGGCAGGGGGCCGTGTGAACGAGCCAAGTCATTACACCGCGGACCTGCAATATATTCGGCCGCGCAAAACCGTTTCCGTTTAATTCACATATATTTTTGTACAAAGAGGAGAAGTACATGAGATATGCCGTATCGATCAATGCTCGCCTGGAAATGGTGCTTTTCCGGACCCGGCGGCGGCGACCGTCTGTCTGGCCGAAGAGGACGGCCTCGCGCGGTTGTCGTCGGGGAGCTTCCCGCCGCCGTCCGGCGAACATGGACGCCCCTTCCGGGAAGCTCGTGGAAAGCCATCGGCGGCGAGTGGCTCCGGGGGCCGCACGCGCGCCAGCGCCAAGGGGTACGCATACCTGAGCCACTCATACACACTGGAAAAATAGCACGTTTCTCAACAAAAATACATCGTAAAAAAACAAAACATTGGACGATGAACTATTAGTATGTCTCGTTTCGTGGCGCGAAACGGGCACCGCCACAGCGCGGAACGCTGAGTGACACGATTGCTTTCTGAGAAATGTTTTGAAACCCCGACAGTGAAGGGAATTTTTTTTTTCTCGCGGTTGTTAATCTTAAAATCCGAGCTGGCCTGGGCAAGATCTTCATACGCCCGCCTGCCTGCCTGCTAGCAGAAAGAGATGCAACAGCGGGGAGAGGGAGTCGCAGCTTGTAAGCCGTCCCGCTTCAAAGCTGTAAGATGCCCGCCTATTACATTTCCTCCGACTTTAGTACGGTGGGACGAAACATGGCAATACCGTAAGAGAGACGTGGACAGTCGAGGCAGACACTCGGACGGACGGCCGTCAACGACCCGACCTGCCCACCGCGGTCTACCGCGCCGGGCGCCGGGCGTCACGTCGCGATTTTCAAACGTCATGTCCGACTTCTCAACCGTGATAATTCAGCGGCTCGACATTTCCTAGAGCGACACACACGACCGCGAGGCCGGCGGGCGAAAGCGCCCCGCGGGGTGTCGGCAACGCCAAACTGCGGCCCCCCGCCGCGACGCCCATTGGTCGGCGCCGACCCGCGGGGCGGACCGCTCGCTACCGACCGCGGCGCGGCGTGCGCGCCATGCAGCAGCCGCGGGGCGCGCGAACACCACCAGAGAGTCTCGTAAAAGACAAATGAGTAAAAACCCGATCGGTAGGGTCGTTCTCGCTCACCTTCATACTGATGTCGTTTTTGTTGAGGTCCGTCGCCGGCGCCTCCCGGAAGTCCAGGTTCCACATGGGAGCTCGTGGGTGCAGAATGGTGGCGCCGGGTGTGATAATGGTGATGGTGTTATGGGCACTCCCCGCCGCACGCACTCACTCACTGGCACTCACTGCACTCGCAACGCACGCACTCTCCGCGCACTCGCAACCACTCTCGCACTCGACACGCTCACGCACGCACCGCTCGCTGGCCTCCTCGGCCTGTGGACGCCCGGGGCCGACTGGCGGCCGGCGGTGGCGAGGTCGGCGGGCCGGCCGGCGGGCGGGGCCTCCCCCCACCACGGCCGCGCGCGCCCGCGCCAGGACACGCCCCCGGCCGAGCCGGGAGGGGGGCGGGCGAGCCGCATCCGATTCGCCGGCGACGCCGGGCGTCGCTCGGGGTGGCAGCGTCGCCCGCCGCCGGTGGTGGGGGCCACTCGTGTGCCAGGCGTCGCGCAGCGGCGGCGTCTCCGGTGGTGGCTGCGACCGGCTGCGATCTTTTTATTTATTTTCGTTTCCTTTTGATTATTTTTGTTTTTCTTTTGGCGGGACGCGGATCCAGATCAGGGAAGTTGTCGCCTAGCTGAAACAAAAAGGAAGATAGAGGTGGCCAGGGGCAGAAGGAAGGGATGGGGCGTCAGCTCCTGCAGACACGAGAACTACATTATCCATCTACACCGATAAATAAGCAGCTGTAATAAGCACATGCAAGTGCTCAACAATACGTTGTATGTGTTTGACTGGATATTTTATTACTGAAATTTCTTTAGCAGTAAAGTTGGCCTCTTAGAATTGTTCATCTGAAGGGTTACACACTCAAAAATATTCATATTATTGTTAACACGGTCGCTGCACCATGACCACTATGTGGTCACGCTCCCATGGTTAAATCATACGCACATAAAAAAAGACGCATGGAATGTGTTAGAGTTAAACACTCACAATACACTGATAAACCGATTGATTAATAGCTCAACTCTAGTGTGTGTGCAACTTCCCTGGCAAGTTAAATACTTGTAAGTGTTATTGAACACTTTCAAGTGTTGAACTCGGTTGTAACTGTATAGCTCCTCTGGACTACTTCCCTTACAGTAAGCGTGCGATCTAGAATGGTGTTCATCAGAAGAGTTGCACACTTACAAGTGCTCAACTAACCAATTGTACACTTGCAAGTGTATTAGTACCGTACTGAGATTAATACTTGCAATTATTCAACTTGCGGTTGCACACTTACAAATGTTATGCAGTTGCTTACTTGGTTTATCAGTGTAGTGGAGTGATACTGGTAGGGTACTTATGTTTTACTCCAGTTTTACTTGTCTCTTATCGGAAATTAAATAGCATATATCTACTAGTTGGAAATGAATACCAGGAGTCACACACTAGCAACTGGAATAAGTGTACTATTCGAGATGACACAAATGCCTCACACACACTTGAGTGAAGCGGGCTTTGGATTGGGATTCCGCTTTGTTTGTGAGACAGAGGTATAGTCCGACACTTGCAAATGTGATCCAAGTGCTTCTACTTTTGTAAATGTGATACACATCTGCAGTTGCAAGCACGAGACACCAGGCCGCGTACAAATGTGAGACTATATCAAGCGAGTTTCTAGAGTACATTGGCAAGAGGAAACATCCTCCATTAAAGCCCAGCCGAAAATTCCGGTTACGGTTACGGCCAGAATTTACGATTACGGCCGTAATTTGCTACGGTTACGGTCAAAATTTACGATTACGATCGTAACCGGAGTTCGATTACGGTTTACACTTGAGGTTACGAGTAAGCTTACGAATACGACCGTAACCGTAGCCCGGTTACGGTCAGCAGTTACGGTTACGAGTAATGCCCGTACGAAAAAGTTTAGTCCGGCATCAGTCCGTTTTCGGTACGCAAAGAGTCCGGCTGGACAGTCCGGCATCAGTCCGCCAAAGCGAGCGGACTAGTCCGCGAAAAAAGCCAGATCGACCAAAAACCGACCTATTTGCCGGACTAGTCCGGCTGGAACTAGTCCGCTTTTGGTGCGCATCCCCGCCTCACCAGACTGATCGCGGACTGGTCCGCACGTAGAGCAGACTGAAAGCGGACTACCTGAAGCACAGCTGACCACTACTCGTTCCAAAATTGATTGGGAAAAGTGCAAAGTTTTATGTTTATTATCGCTAAATAAAGTAAAATATCAGGTCAGGGTAAATCGAACAGTGGTCTAAGAGTGTTAGAAACGAGGCGAAGCCAAATCCGCTGTCTGTTTTGACCTAGCTCAAGCCGTTTACGAGTTAGCAGAAAAATTTGCTTCGATTTCAATGAAATTAAAATGGACCTACTAAGTTAGGGTGTAGATGTCCCAAATAAAATTTCAGGTCAAAATTCCTATAACTTCCAAAGTTACAGCATGGTAAACTTGTATCGGGATTCGCTCCGGACAATTCTTTCTTTTTAACAGTGCTGTGCTCTACTCCCGGGCGGACTGAAAACGACCTGGTCCGCTGCGGTAGGTACTCAGGACGGACTGGTCCGCCAGTAGTCCGCCGTTGGAGGACTGATAGCGACCTAGTCCGTCATGGGGCGGACTGAAAGCGACCTAGTCCGGTGAGGGCGGACTGTCCGCGGACTGGTCCGCCGAGGACGGACTGTCTGCGTACTGGTCCGGCATCGCACTTGGCCGCTGCGACCTCAAAGCGGACTAGTCCGCACGGCCGGGGGTACTAAAAGCGGACTAGTCCGGTGCACGACGGATCGAACGCGGACTGGTCCACAGGGGTGCGGACTCTTTCCGGACCGAAAACGGACTGATGCCGGACTAAACTTTTTCGTACGGGTGTTAAACGATTACGATCGTAACCGGAAAATATCAAACTTTGAAACGTCGTAGCGCTTAAACTAAGCTTTGCAGGGAGAAACGGTTAAGGGTAACGTAAGGGAAACACAAGTCAAACCTATGTGTGGAGTTTGGAAAGAGTCGATTTTTCAACCCCTGGCTATCTTGACAACTGTTAGAGATACCGCAACGAAAACACCACCATTGTGCTCGGCGTCAAAAGTTTACATGGGCGACATGTGCTCTGGTCTCATGGGGGCTTTGAGTTACTGCCAATACGTCATCACCGTAACCGGGCTGACTTACCGTAATCGTACCGAAACAGTAAACGTAATCGTAACCGGAACTTTAATCGTAACCGTAACCGGAAATGGGTCCAATTTACGAGTGTAACCGTAACCGTAGTCGTAACCGTAGCCGTAACCGTAACCGGAATTTTCGGCTGGGAGCTTGATGCTTCGCGAACATAGCTTCATAAGCGCGATGAATACCGGGTGTTGCATAAAAGACACAGCTGCCCGCGGGTTTGCCTACCCAAGGGTCAATGGCGCCTTACGGGCAGAGCGGGTAGGCAAACCCGCCCGCACCTGTGTCTTGTATGCAACACCCGGTACATACCTCTCTCTCCTGGCAAAAAAGTGACTAACCTTATTCACACCGATGCATGTCCATGTCCTACACTTGCAATAAGTGTGTTTTAAACTGCTTTCAAGAAAAAATGTTTTAAAAACTGTTTCGGGAGTGTAGTGTGATTTTTATGGCAAATCTTTAATAAGACATTCTATGGTGCGTCATAGGGATCGAGGGCCGGAAATTTTTCCGGAAAAATATGAAATTTTTCCATATTTTTCGGAAAAATTTCCGAAGCTTTATTTTTCAATGCATGGAAAAATATATTTTGTTGTCTTTTTATTTAAGTGGTTTAGGCGGTTGCTTACAGGTTCTTCTAGTTTTTGGGGTGGTACGGATGAGAGATTAAGCAATACAGTGAAATATATCATTAAAAACTTTGTTTTATTGAAGTTTTGTTTCACAAGTACTTTCTAGCAATGAATCACAAAAGAAAAAAAAAAAATGTTTTAGTCTCTATCCTCCAACTAGTGTTTCTTTGGCATTATCAGTCTTTTGTCCTGGAAGAGTCGAATAGGTAGGCCTGTCTCCGCACCTCTGCACTGAACTCAATAAAGTCGCACTTGTCAAGCTCATCCCCCACCCCCAAAAAAGAAACAATAATTTAAAAAAAACAACTGACCAAACCGTCGCCCTTTAGTTATTTCGGTTTCGTTCGCGTCATGGTGCACGCCGCGCGCATCTTTGAAAGGTGTTCGCTTGCGGATTCATCAAAGACCTAGTCAAAATAACTGGACTGTATAAAAAAAACACTCAAAATAGAGAAAGGGCCATAACAAATGTATTTTTCATATTTTTCCGAATTTTTCTGAAAAATATGAAAAATTTCAGGAAAATTTTCTTCGAAAATACTTTTCATGAAAAGTACGAACCCTAGTGCGTCAGTGAAAGAATGAAAACAGCTGCGCAAAATTATAAGAGAAAACAAAGATTGATCGTTCGAAATTTTGAAAGTATACACTGTTAAAATCCTGCAAAGCAACGCATTGCGATCTGCGAAGTATTTAGATCCTTTGTAATTACGAGACATTTACTTCGCAATCACAAAGTGATGCTTTGTAATTGCGAAGCAATGAAAACATCGCATGAAAAGTATCGCTTTCCATTTGCAAAGCATCACTTTGTTATTGCAAAGTAAATGCTTCATATTAACAAAGGATCTAAATACTTCGCAGTTCTGTAAAGCGTTGCTTTGCAGCAATTTAACAGAAAACAGTGTTCACAAAAAATCTTAGAAAGGTGGTTTTTGGAAAGTGTTGCGTCGCATCTAGAGATAAACAAAATAATAATTTAGGACAGGTTGCAGTTACTTCTCAAAGGGAATTCTCCGCTCAGTACCCGCCTACAAGTTCTTAGAAAGTGCTCGTGAATTTAACACGTCCATAGAACAAGACAACCGTGTGACGCACAGAGAGTGCGCGTACCCAAATCCCATTTCCCACCACCTACACCAACCAGCGTGTGCAGTGCATCGCCTTTCGGCCCTGCTCAAATCCCCCGAAGGGATCACGCTTGAGCACGCGCGCGCGCGCGCACACACACACACACACGCACAGGGGCGCGCGCGCACACACACACGCACAGGGGCGCGCGCGCGCACGGGCGGGCGGTCCATTCTAATCCTCCCCCACAGGCCGGCGCTGCTCCGCTCAGCTCCGCTCGCCTCGCCCTAGGGTGGGGCAGGGCCTCCCCGCGTCGCCCCCGAGGCCGCCCCCTGGGCCTCCGATTTGCACACTTGACAGAATGAGAACGAGGGGTGCGTCCCCGCCGCGCCGCCTGCTTCCACCTCGTCCCGGGTTCGACTCCCGTCGGCCGCGTCGCGCCAGCCTGCCGTACCTGATCCAATTACAATTAACCATAGCTGTAAGGGGCTGTGCCCAAACCACGTGACTTTGGGAGACAGAGGAGCAAATATTATGGGGGGGGCATTAAAGTATCAGGAGGGACATTGGGGTCGATAGGAGCCGCACAATATTTATCTCGGGGTAAATAATTTGGAGGGCAGGTTCTTGTGTTGATTTTTAGATCTCACTATTGGTGTGATGACCTTTTCTGCCACTGAAACGTCTCAATCCCGAGGGGTACACCACTCTTAAAAGTAGGTGTACGCGATTAAAAAAGTCAAGAAAAAAGTC